GCCATTTTCTAGATCTTTCAGAAAAAATTAGCCAACTCTGTATGTATCTAGGAAATAGAAACTCAAGTGCTTTTTGTCTGTAAATAAATTAAAAAGTTATTAATTTCACTTCCTTCATTTTCTACTTAAGGAAACCGAGAAGATGATACGTTGATTTACTGGAGTACTGAGGGAGTCCTTCTGTTCCTACTGCAGTGCTTACTGAATTCTACTATTTGACTGTACAGAACTTAGAAAGTCAATTTGTAGAATTTGTGGTGTTGAGTTACACATTATTTGTTTCAAACTGTGAATTATAACTTCAGAGTTGCAATATTATTTTAGTTACTGAAGAGTAAAATTTTAGGGGAAAATATTTATAAATAGTAATACTTTAAGTGGGTAGAATGAAGTATGGAGTGTCCCTGAAATCAGTTGAGTAAATAACATATATTAAAACTTTAATAACTATTTTCTAACCATCTTTATCAAATTACTGTTTATTAAATTAAAAATCCATAATTTAAATAAAACAAAATTTTCCACATTTTTATCATCACACACCTCAGAATAATGTTTTCTTCACTTGGCCTCAACAGATGAAAGCCTCACCTCTGTGAGCCCTTCAGGCAGCTGACCAGAGCATCTAATCTAAAGAAATGTCTGAAATCTTGTCTCTTGGCCAGCTCTTTCATATACTCTACATATTCTTAAATAGGAAAATAATTTCTTCCAAGGAAGAGTTGGAAGATTTTGGAGTTTTGTTTTGTTTTTTTCCCTTGAATATTTTGGATGCAGGTCACTATGTATAACTCACAGAGGCTAATTCTAATGTAATTCAAATCTAATAAATTCTCTGTCAGAAACAAACTTTAGTTCGGATGCATCACCTCACATCACCACAGGAAGGGTGAGTATAAGATATTTTGAGAGACAGAAACTCTATTAACATAACTTTTATAACAGTGTATTGTTAAAATTGTTCTATTTTGTTGTTTGTTATTGTGGTTAATCTCTTACCATGCTTAATTTATAAATTAAACTTTATCATAGGTTTGTATGTATGGGAAAAATAGCATATAGAGAGTTCCATATTATCCATGGTTTTCAGGCATTCACTGGGGGAATTGGAACACACCCCCTGTGAATCAGTGGGGGACGGCTACTGTGTATCCTATACATAGTGTAACAGACTAACTGCCCTTTCTTTTCTTATTTTCATTCAGACTTCTTTTCCTTAAATTAAAAAATGTGTATTCTTTGTAATTGGATATTTTTTCAACTATAGCATTGCAATAAGTGATTACTTTTTTTAAATGTAGAATCTCCTAACTTTAATAGAAATTAGTGTGCTTCATCATGCTGTGTAATCTCTCTGTACTATGTTTATAATGTCTCCTTGCACTTAAAAATTGTGAACAATTTAGTTTTTTCCATATTGTACAGATCTTCCTTTACTTACAATGGGATTATAGGCCAACAAACCCAACATATCTTGAAACTATTATAAGTCAAAAATGTTTTGAATATACCTAACCTACTAAACACCATAGCTTAGCCTAGCCCAATTTATATGTGCTCAGAACACTTACATTAGCCTGCAGTTGGGCCAAATCATCTAATGCAAAACCCATTCTATAATAAAGTGTGGAATATCTCATGAAATTTATTGAATGCTGTACTAAAAGTGAGAAACGAAATGGTGGCAAGGGTACAGGACAGTTATAAGTGCATTGGTGTTTACCTCTGTGATCCTGGGGCTGACTGGGAGCCGCAGCCACTGCCGAGCATCAGAAGAGAGTACTCAACTGTGTTTCACTAGCCCAGGAACAGATCAAAATTCAAAATTTGAAGTACAGTTTTTTACTGAATGTGTCTTGCCTTTGCACCATCGTTAAGTTTAAAAATCTTAGTAAAACCATTGTAAGCTGGGAAATGTATGTACTTGACCAAATTAACATTGTTGTGATCATTGAAGAAAACTCTGTTTTTCTCTTTATGGCTCTTTTTGTTGCAGCACTAGAAATGCCTTATTAAAATAGAGTGTCTTGATTTAAATGACTGAAGCCCACATTAGAAATTTTCAGTGACTTCCTTGGTCTTTGCACTTCAGTCACTACTCTATAATTTTCATTTGAAACTGTGTAGCTTTAAAATATTTCTTTAGTGCTCCGTATTGCATGGAGCACTGGGTGTGGTGCCTAATCAATGAATCTTAGAACACTGAAAAAATAAAATTAAATAAAAAGATAAAATATTTTAAATATTTTTCTCTATTTTTTCCTTGTTAAATGTGGGATAAAAGTCTTTAATGTATGCATGCACACACATATTCAAGAGGTCTGTTTTTAAAAGAAATATAACTTAGGAAAGTAAAAAATACAGGCAATATTTTCATTATGAGAGTGATACTCATAAACTTTTTCAGGCTTTCTCTCTCTTTTGTTTTATTTTGCTTTACTTGCTTTTCTATTTGAAGATTAGGAAAGTTGGGACTGATAACCGTGAAGTTTCCTCTGATATTTAAATTCTTAAAATGTTGTATTTCTACTTCTTCTATTGCCTATGCCTATACTCACAGAGCCAGACTTAACTCTGTGTGTGTGTGTGTGTGTGTGTGTGGTGTGTAGAACTGTATCATTTGACTCTTAAAAAACTTTCTGAATTTTGTCTGTGGGTGGTAATGTTCTCATTTTTATAAGGAGGAAAACCGAACCCCCAAAAGACTCGGCCAGGGTCACACAACTTAACATGAGAGTCAAAATCCAAATTCTGAGACCCACCCCCTAGGTATTCTCTTTCTTGAATGCTACAGAGCTAAATGGAAAAGTGGGGAAGTTATGGCGGAGTGGGGAAGAGAGATGAAAGAAAACAGAGTGGAAGTTGGTGATGATGTGCTGGGAGATGTTTAGGAGCTGCCTGGGGGTAGGGAAGAGCTTGGTTTATAGTGTTTGTCAATTTCCCTGATGTAACTTTGCCCACAGTGTCATTCTACTGTGTGAGGTCACTAAAGGTGGAGTTGGGAGGAAAGACACACAGTAATGGGCTGTATGAATCTAGCATGCCACGAGTGACGGACAAATGTTACCCTGAACTGTGAAAAAATTTTGAGAATATGTCTTCAGATTCGTAACTCTGGAGAATGGGCGGCAGAATTTGCAGACTAGTACTCATTGTTTAAAGGCTCCTTAGGCTTTCTCATGGTCTCTCCAATGTGCTTTCTGCTTTGGTATCTGTCTCTTCCACAAATATAAATATACTTCTTCATGGATTATATATTGGCAAAAGAGAAAAACCAAGTTAATGCCAGTTATTTTTGAAAATAGCAAGTTATGAATAAGTTATGAATCAAATTAGTGATAATAACAATATATTCTTATTCACCTGGTAAATTTTTACCTCAGCATTCCAAAGCATTTCAGCCTGAAACCAAGGCAGGAAAAAAACTGGGAAGCCGAGAAGAATTTACTTAAGTCCCTTTCTTAACACAGCCATTGCATGTTTCAGTTTTTACCTCTCAGATTGAAAGGCACCTGATGTTGCGGCTGTGGATCAAAACACCTGTCAGCGATGACAAATACCTTCTCTGAAAGAATCATGATGTTTTAAGTTTAATAAGTATGTAAACTTTAGAATTTAGTAATCCTCTCATTAGTCAAACTATACAATTGATGTATTTTGAGAAATAACGTAAAAAAGGCCCTTAAATTTAGAGTGCTCAAACCTACTGTTCAAAGTAGGTGAAACATAGGGCACTGATCTCAGTTGATTTTTCAATGTAGCTTCTAATAGGAATCATGAAATCCAAGAGCTTCACTGAGGTTGTGATATTTTGTGGGGGGAGGGAATATGAACAATCTTTAACCTTCTAGGAGCCTGTAGTAAAACATAATTTAAAACTTTACTAACTTTAAAGACTGTTTGGAGAGTTAAAAGCCTTATATCATTACCTGATTAAAGGCACCTGATTTCTTTATCTTAAATCCAATACTCAACCTAGATCAAGGTAGGACAGGAAAAAAGTTGTCTTCAAGCCTATGAGTCTGAGAATGATTAATACCTAATCTAAGCCTCAAGAAGGGTATTAAGAAGTATGTCTAGAGCAGCTGGGATCCAAATAATAAATGGCTCTTAACAGTGTGAAAGAAAAAACTGGAGAATGGTAATATCTGAGATGTTCAGAAAATAAGGCAGAGTGATATCTGAAGTAGGCAATACTAAGGTGAAATCTTTATTAACCATATTAAGGTGTTAGTGGTGTCGGTAGGAGCTTTGCCCAGTTATCTGAAGAATGAAATAAGAGAAATTAATTTTATGGGAGTATTAAGATCTTAATGCCTTATTTTCTAAGCATAATATAAACCAATAGATAAGACTCTATTCAGTGTTCTGGTTCTAAGGAAGAAAACATTCTATAATGGAAAAGTAAATCCCACTTTTAGATAGGTCGGGAGAGAAGCTTTTTTTTTTTTTTTTTTTTTTTGCTACAGGGTACTTATCAGTGGTTTTGGATCATTTCAGAAGTGTTTCCCTTTTAACTGTTCTTTATCATTTTCTTCAAGCAAAGCTTTAACTTTGTCCTATTCAATAACCAGAAGATAGGATTTTTCAAAAAGGTTCCCAACAATAGTTTACTTTTTACACTGTCAGTTTCACCAGAGGCCTTGGTAAACATGCCTAATCCACTGAAGCTCTGTATCATTCAAAAGCCAAGCTATAGCACTAAATTAGAGTTGAAAGTGGATAGGAGAAGGGATAGGATATACTAGAAAAAAACTTTCAATTCATCAGTTTCTCCTTATGTGAAGTGGGCATTTTACCAACTATCAGTTTTTATATCTTGTAGTGTTTAACCACTGAAAATAATGGTAAAACCCCTAGAAAGAGTGCTCCACTCCATTCAACATGGTAGCAACATTAATTTGTCCCAGACTGTATCAGTGAGGGAAGGTAAACCACGGATCCACTCTATTTCCCTGAACATTTCCTGAAAATTCATCAACGATCACAACTCTTCTCACCTGCTCTGGATAGCCATCCATACTCCTTTGCCCTTTAGTTTGAATTAAGCACCGTCCAGGCTGAGGTCCCCGGGTGGCCTGTGAAGAGGGGATCTGAATAGGCAATGGTGACTGAAATTGCTGGATGGTCACTTTGTTTATATTTCCTTCATATGGCTGCTGCTCCCGGCTACGGTGCTGAAGGCTTTGGGACCCCATCAAAGTCTGGATGTGGCTGCCTGCCTGTGGAAAAGATAATTTGTCAGACAAAGATTCGTGGTGTTGAAAGGATGTGATTAAAGTCAAACACATGTACAGAATACCTATCTGGTAAAGTGGCATCACTTGGGCTCTCAGCCACTGCTGGAAAGGATAATGAAAAAACAGTAAGGGTCTGCCTACTGTGGTTTGTGAAAATGTTAATACTGGAGCAAGGTTGCATTAAATACATTCGTAGTCATCTAGTGTCTTGCCAAAGATTATTTTATCCCCCATTTTAAGAGAGCAAAAATCTCTCCGGAAAATCTCAAGAACAAAAAGAAGTCACAGCTTAAAAATAAAGTGGAGTTCTACCTGGCGTTTTATTTTGACTAATAGCAGGGAGAGAGATATAATATAGGAAACATCAGAGGGAGAATGATAGAGGCTGGATCCTGATTCTGAAGCAAAAGAATCAAAATGTGTATTTTCCTTTATGTCAAAAGTGCATAGTGAGGCTGTTCAGGTGAGGTTAACCAATATTCATTCATGTTCTGCATTATTAGATCAAGAGTATGGTTTTTGGAATCTTTAAGTCACATTGAAAATGAACCATGTGGTAAACTCCTGTGAGAATCTGTAGCTCATGGAGACACAGATGTGGAAGGGTCTTCCAAGTGAGCTCTGTATGTAGATCATCCCACCGTGAGCTTTCAGAGACATTCATGAGTATCTCATTGAAAGCAACGATGACCATTTTTCAGTCCGTAAGGGTGGCTATTGGAGGGAGAGGGCCGGCTCACTATGTCTTCCATCTTCAAATGCTATGGTGTGCACCACTGTTCCTTACTCACTCTGATTTTCTCAGCTTTGTCTTATCATCAGTCTTTTGAGTCATTCTACTTGATATCTTTTCCACCACGCAAGTGGTTCTTCTTGTGGGCTGGTAACCCACAACATGCCTTTTATAATCATGGGTGGTTTAACATGGAGGTCTCACATGGGAAGTGAATGCTTATTAATACTTTTAAACATATATTCCACTTCTGTGCCTGGTACTCTACCTATTACTACAGAAGTGTCGGAGGGGTTACTTCCTGCATTCATTTTCTTTCTTGTTGATCTTTTAAGGGTAGATCATTTGGAATTCAAAACTGAATTTCACCTTTGAATTCATTCGCTAGGAAAGCCTGTATTTTGCTATTTGTAACAAATTTGTAATTCATTAGCTAGGACAGTCTGACTAATCAAGATTTCTGATTAAAAATTTAGATTGGAGGAATAAAGGAAAAATTATTAAACATGCATTCAAGGAACAGATTCATTTGAATTTTTAAAAGCTCTTTAAAAAGAGCAACATTAAGAGAAATAAGGAAATGACAGTGATCATGGAAAATCATTTGGAGAAGATGGGAGGCATAATGGTTCCAAACAAGAGGTGATTTCTGTGAAGAAAATATTTAAAATTATTATTTGGCAATACATATGGGAAAGTAAACAACCATTTGATTATATTTTTAGATGCCCAACTGGCTGTCTTGTTATCATGTACAATGTTTACATTCAGAAATAGTAAAGATATTTCAGTCATGAAAAATTGGAGGAAAAGATGCGGAAAAAAAAAAAAAGAGTCAGACTATCCCAGCACAATGTGAAAATAATGATCAATCCAACACTACCCAATGCAATTAAGCAGCAATGGCAAGGCTATAATATCATAAACACAACTAAGATAACTTCATAAAGGACTAATGTACATTTCTTTATTGCATCTATGCCCTTTTCAGAAATCTAAATGAAAGGAGGTGTTGCAACTTTGAGGACTGTTCTGGATGGTCAAGTTTTTCCCCTTAGTTTGATTCTCTTCAACCTCCATGGAATCTCATGTTCTCTTGTTTGGCAGGAGAGAAACACCATGATAACTGTGTGACATTTTGAGCTGCTATACTCTGAATGAACTTACTAGCATGCTAAGGCATAGTTGGAGACAATGACTTCTTAGAGTCTGAAATGCTGACAGTGGAGCCTGACTAAAACTGACTAGCCTGGCTATGAAACAATAAGTTGATTTACATTTCAACCTGTTCGTTACCTTCACTGCCATCATACTTATGGGTCTTTAGTCAGTGTTTGAGCCAGTGTACAAAAGGAAGACCAGCAGTTTAATTGAAAGTGATCATGTAGACAAGCAAAGAATTGTTAACATTCAGAAAAACTTACGGGGATCCAGAACATGGATACATAATCTACGTGAGAAAATTAATAAGGACCACTTAACAATCTCTTCATTGATTAGAATATTCAGGTAATGGTGTATCCAAGGGTGAAAAACTGTTTGCATATATTATGTAACTATTATAGCCTGCAGACTTATTTTTCTGGTTTAGTTTTCCCTTCTGATGAGACAGTTGGAGCCCAGAATTATGCTTTGATTTGGAACTCCTTGAAGGCAAGTAGCATAGCCTACTTAACATCTTTAATGATGAGTGCAGTAACTGGTATTTAATAAATAATGGCTACTATCGAAACACTGTGCCAAACAATGTGCTAAACAATGTGCTAATAAAACTTACCTTACATATATTACCTCCTTTAGTCCTTACAACAGTATTAGAGGTTAACTATTATGAATTATTATTATCTGATTTTACTAATAAGGAAACAAAGGCTTCTAGAAGTTAAATAGCTTTCCCAAGTAGTTTTCACTACTGGTAAACTGACAGGATGAGGATTTGAACCAAGGCTGTCTGATGATGAAAGATCATGCTCTTCCTACCCCCTCCATTTTTTTTTATTATGTACAGTTAGCCAACATAGAGTACATCATTAGTTCTGAAAGATCATACGCTTAAACACAAAATGATACTGCAATCCCCTAATCACCAAATTGATTCTCTCTCCCAATAGGTGAACTGTGAATTGAAAAGAAACCATGAAAAGAACAAAAGAATCAAACTGTACGATATATTACATTTCTTTAGCAGCTCTTTAATTTGCCAAAGGGCCATTCCTACTTATTGAATTAGATCTGTTATCTATTTTAGATCCTATGGGTGTGACACAGAGCATTATAGCTAAACAAATAAGTGTATTTAGTGATCTTCCCACAATTATGAAGTGACAAAGCTCATGTTCTCAGATAGTTTGATAAACCATGGGCATGGAAAGAATGTGCTATAAAATGATTCTGTTTGCAGTACTGTTTTTTCACTCTCTATTGGGATTACAGGCTGTATTGAATGGGGATGGAGGGTGACAGCTGTTGAAAGCCAAGAATTAACACTAAATTTTGCATGAAGTTAAGCAAACATAAATGACACAAGACATCTAAAGGGACAATTATGGTGTTGGAGGGACTGTAAAGGGGAAGTGTTTTGTTTTTGTTTTTGTTTTTGTTTTTGACTGGCACAAAGGCTTAAGAAAGGTAATAAGGATGCTCATGATGAAGTACAAAGGGCTAATGAAAATGTAGACAATGTCAGAGGCTGGATTTGTTCAAGCAGAGGGTTAGCTTTGAGAACACTGACTCATACTGAAGGGGAATTTGAACGTAAAGGTTTCTGTAAAGACTGTGCTACACATTTTGAATGATAAAAAGAAATAGAGAAGATCTGACATTTGTTTTGAACTTTCAAGGGGAGGTTGGACAAAATAACATGTATTTGAGAGGAATAGTGATGAAATATAGTGTTTTCAAGTTGACCCAAAACCATACTGTCAAAATTTACAGAGAAAAACTCCAATATCCATAGGACCCAAGAAAACATCAATGTCAACATCACAGAAAAGAAATATTGATTTGATACCAAAGGGCACTGTTCATGCAAAATTCAGCCCACAAGTAATCAGGCTTATTATGTAGAAATTTAAAGTGTTTGGGAAGTTTTGTATAATAGAAAAGAAATGACTTTCTTACTATAAAATACTTTGGTTCACACTATTCTCTTAGAAAAGACTGTTAGACTGAGAAGTATATTACCCAATTTGGTCATCTGTTTTTACTAGCCATCTTGGGTCTTGAACCACTTGGGGTTGCTTCAAAAAATCAAACGCAGCTTCAAAGGATGACAGTTTATGCCAATGAGAATATTCAAAGGGACACAACTCATTCTCTCAAATTAGAGTTCCGTAGAGTTCAAAAAATGTTTGGGAGCAGTGTCAACAACACAGAATTACCTACAAAGGATAACTCAGTAACTAATTTCAAGGAACCAGTGACACTCACTTAAATGAATCAGTTTCAGTAATTTTGTAAAGAAACAACAATAACAACAAAACAGTCCCATTATATTCTCTTTATACCATGTGTTCTATAGTGACTTTTTTTTAGTAAGCAGGTTAAGTTTTAAAAATCTAGACAGTTGGATTTCTGATTTTAGGTAGATGGAGTAGACATACCCATCCCCATTCCCTGCAAGAACAACTAAAACCTTGGATATTTTATGTAAACAAATATAAGGAAACTCTGGAAAGAAGATAGAAGAAAGTAGATCAACTCAGATATGGAGACCAAGTAACAGCATGGCAGTGAATCTCTTAGTTTTATTTTTGGGTCATGTATCCCAGACTTGGAGCTGAGGAAGTAGGCAACCCCAAAATGCCACCAGATGCAGAAGAGACAAGCTCCAACAGTATCTTTCTCTCTTTAGCCAAGGGACCAGAAAAAGGACAGCCTAGAAAAACAAGACTTTTAGACAACGACTATTCTCCTATAACCAAACATCATGGAAAAAACTGTGGCCCCACCCTGACAATGCCAGCCAGAGTAAAGTGTGGACCCTAGACTTCTACTCTTATAACAAAGCACATTAACACTCCTGCCTGGGTAGTGTCCAAGAAGGCCAAGTTAGATACCACTGCATTCATTCCCATCTGCCTGTAGCAAGACTTCCCTCACCTCAAAGATGCCAATAGAGATCACACAAGGAGCCTGGGCTTCCATACCCACCCAGCAGTAATGAGGCAGCCCTCTACCTTAGCAATAGTATGATTAGAGAAGTCCTAGTAGAGAGTCAGGACCTTCTCTATCACCCAGTGAGGCTATC